TATCGGCTCACCGATGGCTTCCTGGGACGGGTTATTGGTTTTGCTTCCGCCTCCAGCCTCCAAGTCCGAGACAGGTGGGTGAAGGGGATGCCTGAGAGTGAGGTGAGAAACGAGGGGAAGTGACCCACGTGAGGGCTTCTGGGGCAGGGGGCGCCACCCCTACGCCTTACTCCCCGGCCTCTAGCCCCTGCTGTCCTCCACCCTCCAGCTGACGGTATGATTTCTGCAGAGGCAGAGGGGGCTGTTTTGTGCCTGCGTGTTTCTAGGCTCTTCTCGGGAGCTTAACCCGAGTAGGTGTGTACTATTTTGTCAATTTCCAAGCTACTGTGGGTGATAGTGAAATGCGAGCCCAGGTAGGGCCCCCCATCTGATTCCCTTTTTCTGTGCCTGCCTCAGCATGCCCTTGAGGTAGAGCTAACCCAGCTGCTGCTGGATCATTACTCTTCTTCAAGAAGATTTGTGGACTAGGTGCTCATTTCCAGTTTAGCATACAGATGATCGTTTAATTCGGTTGACAGTCCCTTCTCCGTTTCCGCCCAAGCTGTCAGTGTTTCTGTCACATTACAATCCAGGGCTTGCTACTGCTCAGTCCCGGCCCCCAGCCCGCAGTCCTCTGTAGCCTGCCACACCGCCAGCTATGGACTCTGGGGAGATAGGGAAAATCCATTCCTTGTTATGTCAGCCCCAAGTCCAAGACCTGGTTGGCTTCACCCTGTTGCTCACACTTTTGGAATGGCTGAAGCAAGGAAAAGGGCATGAGGTAAATAAAGGAGGAGGGTGTTTGGACTTCTTTTTGCTTGCTGTAGAAAAGAGATCCAGAAAGAGGTCTGAGACCAAGGTTTTGGGAACGTTGAGAATGAGTCGACAACAGCCTCTACTATCCCCTGATAGTTCTCTCTCGTCTGGTGGGGCAGAAAGAGTGGGTGGAAACATAGGGAGAAGGAGTGCAGACAGTCTCCAGCCACAGATAAGTTGGAAGCTAATCTGAGACCGCTAGAGCAGGAGGAGACAGAAATTCCCTTTAATTTCCTCTTTCTGTGCTGGGCTGGAGAGTTATTTTACCCCAAGCTGGGAATGAAATACTCTTTACCCAGATCTGACCTGCAAGACATTCCTGGGCTCTTAAAGAGGGGGAGAAGATGGTAAACAGTCAGTCAGGAGACAGGCTTTGTCCTGAATGCCTCTCCTCTGAGCCAGCTCGTGGATGGAATTTATGGGCTGGACAGTCCCCAGGAACCTGTCATATAGTCACCATTGAATGAACAGATGTTTCTTCTGGAGTGGGCAGTATACACAGTTGAACTGACTGGAGTTCCTGATGGGAGTCAGGACTCTGGGACTCTGTTGGTGTTTTCCTATTAGCTGGGCCATATTTCTTAGCGCACCACACAGGGATATGGAAGTATGCCTAATATACTCTCTGGGTTGTTTTTATTGGGGGCAGATGTCGCAGGTACAAGAAACTAGTGCTTTTTGCAGTACAGATCATAACCAGTAGTAGGTCTGAAATCAACTTAGTGAGTCAGAACCAGCCTTAAAAAATGATGGTATAGAATCAACACTCTCAGAATGTATTGTAATGAGTGAGGGTAGACCTTTTTGGCAAAACTTTTGTTTCAGTTCTATTTATGTGTACATATTAGATATATATGTGTGTGTTTATTGGATCATGGTGCAAAATGTACTTCTTAGGTTAAAAAAAAAATTTGCGAGTCACTGTAGTAAGTTGTACTGGCAAATAAAAGAACAAATAAATCTCAAACTCATTTTTATTAAAGATTCCCATTAGATTCCTTTGGTTATAAACAACAGAGAGTGAGACCGACTAGCTTAAGCAGGAGAGGAATTTATTAGAAGGAAATGGAGCAACCACAGAATTTAGGGGAAAGCTTAAAAAGTCCGAAGCAGAGGAGTATGGGGACTTGGGTAGGTGGAAGGAACTAATGGAGGGTTTCTGCTTCTGGGGGACTTGATTCCAGCCGTTTTAGGTCTTTCTGTGCAAGGCTGCAGGGAGAGGGTGTCTCCCTTGGCCAGGGAGGGGCAGAGTTCCTTGACTGGTAATCCACTAGATCACTAGATCAACCAAACCCTTTGCTGTTGAGTCAGTTGTGATTTAGGGCGACCCTATGTGAAGCAACCTCATAAAGGAAGTTTTTCAAAGCAAAGCCCACGTGCTGTTACCAGTGGATGTGAATGGAAGCTGTAGCAAAAGCAAGAGATGTTCGCTACACTAGATGTTGGCATGGGTGATTCTCTGATTTGCTTTTTTAAATCATTTTCATCAAAGGAATATCTGTGAATGATTTTAAACAGATCTAATAGTATCAAAGCCTTTTAAAAGAAAATAACAATCCCCCACCCCAATTCTTGCTCCATGGAAGTAATTAACCACTTTGAACTCTTTTAGCTGTTCATCTGCTGTTTACCTCGTGTTTCTAAATAATATACTTATAGCAATAGTTCTTGACTTATCGGTTTTAGACATCTATTGACTGCCTGTTGTAGGAATTATAAGATTCATTCCCTCCTCCTGGCTTATACGCTCCCTTCCTTTTTAGGAGCACGGCTCCGAGAATCCGACAGAGGTGGACTCATCAGGGCTTCCATGTTTGCTTTGTCTGAGACCACTTTGATAAATTAATCGCTTTAGTCTCAGTTTCCTCATCTGTAAAACAGGGATAATAATTACATCCTTCTCGTCAAGTTGTTGTACGGATTAAATAATGCAGATGAAATACCGAGCCCAGTGCCTGGCACATGGTAAGCGTTCAGACTGCCACCAGTTGCCATAGTATCAATTCTGACTGGATGCTAGCTGTTATTTTTCTTTGCTACTGGCTTAGACAAGTTTGCTTTAGCCCACCTCCCTCCCTGCCTTCTCCTCTCCCTCCAGCACCCTGGCCAAGGGATTTGGGAAGAGTCTGGCAGCTCTGGTCTGGTCAAGGTTCCTCTGTCTCGTTATGTTGACATTTATTTGTTCTTTCTTCCTTTCCCCTTTCCTTGATGATCCAGGTCCCTGATCCAGAGGATCCCAAGGGTGGGAGGGGTCCCAGGGTGAGGACCTGAGTAACCTTTGCTAGTCCCAACCCAGCGAGGACTCACCTGAGACCAGTGACGTTCAGGGTTCCTAGTTTGGCGTCCTCCTTCCACCAGCCCCCTCTGGGCCCGTTTCCTCCTCCTCCTTTTTCTGACCTCATGGCCCAAGCAGTGGGTGTCCCTTGCTGCTCCCTTGCAGTAATCTGTTAGTGTTACCCTTCCTTCCAATGTTTGCATTTTTTGTTCATCCTCTCTACTTTTTTATTTTGGCTGGTCTTGGCCAGAGAGGTTCTCTTGATGCCTGGGTGTATTTGGAATTATTTTATCAGCTGTAGTCTGAACTATCTGTCCCCTGGAATAAGTGTCATTCCTTCAGGACCTTAGAAACTGAATTAGTTTAAATGCCAAGTCTTTCCTGAGCCCCCACTTTTTAAAATTTTTATCTTTAACTAGAGCTGTGATTTATTGAGTGCTTACCATCGGCCTTGTATTTTTTAAAATAACAGCTTTATTGAGATATAATTCATATACCATACAAGTCTGTAGTTTTTAGTATATATTCACAGTTATATAACCATCAATGTAGTCAATTTTAGAACCTTTTCATCACCCCAGAAAGAAACCACACACCCATTAGCAGTCAATCCCCATTTTCCCCTGGTGTCACAGTCCTAGGCAACCCCCCGACAGTCCTAGGCAACCACCAATCTACTTTCCGTCTCTTATGAATTTACATGTTCTGTATATTTCGTATAAGTGGAGTTATACAATATGTGATCCTTTGGGACTGGCTTCTTTCCCTTAGCTTGTTTTTAGGGTTCATCCATTGTAATATGGGAGCCCTGGTGGCACAGTGGTTAAGAGCGATGACTGCTAACCAAAAGATCAGTGGTTTGAATCCACCAGCTGCTCCTTGGAAACCCTATGGGGCAGCTCTGCTCTGTCCTGTAGGGTCGCTATGAGTCTGAATCGACGTGACAGCAGCGGTATTGTAATATGAATCAATACTTTATTCCTTTTATGGCTGAATAATATTCCATTGTATGGATATATCACCAAGGGTATATTCCTCTTGCATAAATGTTGGTGGACATTTATCCAAGGGTTGTTTCTAGTCTTTGGCTATTGTGTATAATGCTGCTGTGAACATTCATGTACAAGTGTTTGTGTGGACCTGTGTTTTCATTTCTCAGGGAGAGAAATGCCTAGGAGTGGAATTGTTTGGATCAGAATATTTGCATTTTAAGAGGATTCATTTGGAGTCATTGATGCTTCCACAAAGGAATGAATGAATTATAAAATGGTGGAGGCCCTGTCTCTGACACCTGGGTGGGGAGAAAC